AGACAGAACTAATAATTTTCATGTAGCCTTTTCTGTGGCACTCATCGCTACAGTATCTGAGTGCTCTTCTGCAAATATTAATGAATTTATTTTCACTATAATCCTATGAGATGAGGGAGTTTATCCTCATTTTACAGCGGGCAAGCTGAGGCATGGAGAGATTAAGGTAAGAAATATCAACTAAATTTGGGTGTCCAATTTGAGAGAGCTAGGACCTGATTTTTCAGAGTATTTAGCATTTCATAGCAGCTTATATATTCAAAGCACAGCTCCCATTGACTTTGGTTGCAGCTGGGAGTGCTCAGCACTTCTGCAGGTCAGACCAAGGGTTTAAAGTCAGGCACTCGTAAAATGAGGAATATACACTTAGTGACCATGTGTGAAAAGTTTGGGGTAAGTATTTTGCCCAGCGTCATATAAGAGCTCTGTGGCAGAGGCGGGGATAGAATGCAGTTCTTCTAGGCAGAGTTCAACTGCCTTAACCATGAGACCATCCTTCATCTTCTGCACTCCTTGCCTTATGAACGCTGTGACATATCTTTATTGTATTGAATTTGTCTCACTGTGGGCCAAAGATTGTATGTATGATTGTGTTCTACTCCCATGCAGGAGGTTATCACATCTCTTCTAGGTACTTAAACAGTGAAGGATGATGATGAATCACTCAGGTTGTAAATGCCTCCAGAGGCACCACTCCCTGGGGAAGTTTGCATATACACCTCTACCTCGATATAACACTGTCTTCTGGAGCCAAAAAATCTTACTGCGTTATAGGTGAAACCGCGTTATATCGAACTTGCTTTGATCCACTGGACTGCGCAGCCCCGCCCCCCGGAGCGCTGCTTTACCGCGTTATATCCGAATTTGTATTCTATCGGGTCGCGTCATATTGGGGTAGAGGTGTACTGGTTCAGGCTGGCTTTCTGGAGACTAGGAAAACAAATAAAAGGCTTTTGGCTTACACTGAATTGAAACGGACTCAGGCCTTTTTTCTGATCCAGCAAACAGACAAGACCTTCTGTTCAAGGGGGCCCCAACCCTTGAGGAGGGACTGGAAAGACTTTACCCTGCTAGAGCCCCCGCGTAAGACTGATGGGTGACCTCTGGTGAGATGTTATCATGTGTATAGGAACTTTTATTGTTTTTCTGTGTTTTCTCTGCAAAGCTTTTTACCTTAAGAATAAATGTGCTTGCTTACAAAGAGCTGTGTGGTACCTTGTAACTTCTGCCAATACGCTGTTCATAGCCCTCAGAGAAAAAGTAAATCACAGGTGCTGACCTCTACGCAGACTGGTTTGCTGTGAATATCACAGTGGATGGCAGGGACTTGTGCAGCCTTTAAACTCCCAGTCAGAAGAGAGTGGACAAGGGTCCCTACCCAGTGACAAATGAAGGCAGGCAACCTGAGACCTGACTGAGCACTTCATGAAGAGGGAGGGGGAAGATATAGGTGCAGTTATCATGGAACTGTGATACACACCTTTCACCTTCTGCAACAAATGAGGCCCAGGGGCCCTATAGACAACAGTTTACTTCACTACACAACCCGGATTCATCCACAGATCAGCTCTGTCTTATACACTGAATAAGGCAGGTGTTCTGTGGGGAAAATAGTTTGTGACAATAGTTTGTGACCATATAATTAAAGACTGTTCTCTAATGTATATGCACAAGGGAGTGTAGGGGGAGAAGTTGGGGGCGGGAGGGGGGCGAGATTGCACAGGCAACCTTAATTCTGGCATTTCCTAACTTTGGAGTGGTTGACTTTGCATCCTTAGTTCAGTGTCCCACCGCAATGTGGGTGGATGCTTGTGGAATTATTTATATTTTGGCAGTTTCCAGAGGCCCCAACTGAAATCGGAGCCTGATTGAGCTTGGTGCTGGTCAAACATTTAGGAAGGCACAATTCCTGCCCTGCACAGCTGACAAACTAAGTGTAAGCTGGAGGGGATGCATACATATCTACAATTTTAATCTTCATGTTTTGTACCTTATATTAAAATAGAAAGAAAAAATGTTTATAAAAGTATATATGTAACTGTCTTCCAACCTCTCTTTGATTAGCTAGTGAGTTGTATGTTAGCATTAAGCACTGGTTCTCAAGGAGAGATTGGAAGAAGGAAAGGAAAGTGGCATTATGGGCCAGTTCAGGGAAGGCATCAATTGTGGGAGGTGGCCAGGAAGAAAGCATAAAGATGGCTTTGAGGAAGAGCCCAGATCCACAAAGGTATTTAGGTGTTAATGTCCTTTTTGCGAGCCATATAATTCCTGCTTGCCTGCTGCTGAACTCTTTAGGCACCTAAACTCACTTGGTACCTAAGTGTTTGCAGTAAAATTTCCCTGGATACCTGTATTTCTAACTCTGAGCATATGCTGCCTCCCTCCAGGTGTCGGGGCATCTATCTCCCCCATAACCTTCAGAGCAATCCATGAACTGGGGGGAGGGCGGCGGCACTCCTGCAAGGCCTGATCCAGTAGATTTACACAGAACTGGGGAGGAGGATGAGCTCTATTATAATTTTTAGCCCAGAGGTTAGAACACTCACCTGGGATGTGGGACCAACAGTTCAAGTCCCCCTTCTGCCTGAAGAGGAGAGAGGATTTGAAGAGAGATCAGCACCTCTCAGGTGACCATTAGGCTTTAGAGTCATTCTCTTTCTCTGGCCTAATTGATATTTAATTATTCATTTATTTAATTAAAAGTGCAGCAGCTTCCAAAGGAGACACTGAGGGAGCCCTTTGTCAATTTATTCCATAGCTCAGGTGTTCGGGCGCTTCCCTGAGAGATGGCAGTTCCAATCTCTTCTCATGCCCGAGGGGGAATCGAATCTGGGTCTCCCACATCCTGTGTGAATGCTCTAACCATTGAGATTAAGGTTATAAGGGAGCTCCTCCTTCTCCTGCCCAAAACAGAGGCGGGGAGAGGCAGAAGGAAGGAGATCTAGTAGGTCCCTGAGCACACCTACTGGATTGGACCCTGCATGCAAGTTAGGCAGAGGAGCACCTGTCTCCCCCCAGTTCCTGGATCGCTAGTTGAAAGAGGTGCCTACACCTTGGCATCTATCTCTGAGAGTGGCATGGCTTAGCACACACACCCTCATCTACCATTGGGTGGCTTAAGAAGCTGCCAACCTCGGGTGCTGGGTTTGTGGATCACATTCATCGTGCCTATCTCTCCCCATTCATTGTACAGGGACCCTTGGTGCCTAACCCAGGCTTTGTGAATCACAATGTTGTTCCTGGGAGGTTTTTTTTTCCCTCTAGAAACCTAAAAGTTAGGTGTTGAGGTGCTGAACATCACAACGCCTAGGTCCTTTTGTGGTTCTGGGCCAAAATAACTATACATCCTGATGTAGGAAACTCCCACATGATTCCCTGTGCCTGAAACAGCTCCACTCCTGCAGCCTTGAGAGTAGGTATGATTCCCCATTGCGCTGACTGCTCCAAGATTAGTCACCCAATGTTCAGAAAGTTTATGCTGCTTTTTGGGGCTTACCAACAAACCCTATGCATTTATGCAATGGCACATGCTTCATCCATCAATGTTCGGTAACACATCATTATGGATTGTCCTCATCAGACTCGATGATAATGCATTTCATGCAGTGCACACATTTAAAAGAAATCCATACAAAGATTGCCATGTCTGTAATCATGATAATATAACAAAACACAATTTCAGCACCACTCCAGTAGTGTCTTTTAATTTTCAGCCATGCCATGAGACATATTACTGGGATGAAAGTTGCATTCATTGGATACTGTACATTATAAGAACCACAAAAGATGAAGCTATTCTGAGTGAAAAGTGAAATACTAAAGAGAGAGCGAGAGAGAGAGAGAGAACATAGAGCGTGAGACCTACAATAACATGCAAGCAGACAGAGGTACCAGTTTTGGCTTGAGACAGCACAACACCATGACAAAGGTGCATCACTAGAGAGAAAAAAACAGCAGGAATGAAAAAGAGTGAGAGAGGGAAGAAGAGGAATGAGTAAATGGAAAGATAATAAAAGAGGAATAAGCAAATGGAAGTACAGACAAAGTAAGAACACATCACCTTGTTTAGAAAAATGGTTTGTTTCATTTCTTTGGAATGAATACCACTGCTTTTTTAACTAATTGAAGCACTGATATATATATATATATATATATATATAT